AAAGCACTAGTTTAAATTTTAATCTAATATCTCCTATATATTTAAAAAATTACTGAAAGGCTAAATTTCTTTCATTTAATAATAACAAAGCAAGTTTTAAACTTAAGAAATATTTTGTGGAAAGAATACATTTTCTTGTTCTCTGTTTTCAAAGTTATTATACTGGATATTGTCAGTTTGTTCCAGGATACTGATTTTTTTTTATTTTTGGTACTGGAGGTCGAACTCAGGATCTTGCATTTTTGAGGCAGGAGGCCGAATCACTGAGCTAAATCCCCGGCCAACTAGGATACTAATTTAAAGAATTAACATGAAGCTTACATCATTTTTACCAAAGATTAATTGAAACTCTAGAGAAGATAAACAATATTAGAAGATAAACAATATTAGAAATAACTGACACTAAAAATAATTGTACATGGAATAATTTGTTCTTGAAGGGGAGAACAGATTAATTGGAATATAATAGTAAGGAGCATCTGAGAACTGCATTATATACTAATAAACGTTTTTAGTGAAGCATAGGACATTGTACTATACATGAAACCTTGTAGGTGAAATTCCCTGGAGTACATCTAGATATGTTGTAGGACAAGTTCATTGTGACTTGTATCTACAAAATGTAAAGGACTGGAAAGTGACCATTGAAGAATAGCTTCTCTAGGAGAATATGCATGAGTGGGAAAGCCTTGTTTAATTTGTTGATGGAGGTCACTGGCTGCAGAAATGTTGGCAATTTTCTTAATTGTTCATGTGGCTTAATTTTTAGTAGGTATGGCTTAACAAGCATTTTTTATTCTTTCAAATTACTTTTATAATTGCCAGTTCAATAAGTTTTCTTATCATTTGGAAATGCTTCTGCAGTAGTACATTGTTTTCTCTTATAGTATAATGCATTATTTATATTGTTTAGACATAAAATATGCATATGGATAATTAAATGTGATTTGAGAGCTACATTTCTTACATGTTTGAAATAACTTGAATTACAGATCCTCTACATTTTAGCATCCTTATGATTACATTTTCCCAGCAAAAGTTAACATTTGGATTCATTCTTTTAAACCTGTGATTCTCAGCTGGGAATTATTTTGCCCCCCACTGGACCTTGGTAATACCTGGAGATATTTTTATTCTCACACTGGGGTAACAATACCACTGGTATTTGTCAGGTATAGGTCAGATGCCGGTTATTACCCTAGAGGTGCATGGGACAGCCCATTAAAAAAAAGCTTTTCCTAGCCAAAATACCAGTAGTGTCAGGATTGAGAAACTGATCCAAACATAAAACTAGTATGAATAAAAATGTGAAGAAAATACACATAAATGCGCTGTTATTCAAATTAGTAGGCATTATGAATGTCTAATATTTACCAGATACTTATTCAAAGGTTATTTATATATATATGATATATCAATATTTTTATGAAAAAGAATTTATGTAAAATGACAACAACAGAAGGGCAATAATTTGTACATCTCAATGGCATGCTTGTATTTTTTCTTACAGATTGATTATAAAATGTATCATATGAATTATTCTATTGTCATTCTTAATATAACTTTTCTGTTTGGTTTGTGTTGCTAAGGATTGAACCCAGGGCTTGTTCATGGTAGTTATTCTACCACTGAGCTACATCCTCAGCCTTGCAATATAACATATTGTGAAAAGTTGTGACTGGGAAACCTTTGAAATACAACATTTTGTGAGAAGCCATGATTGTATTTTCCTGTTGGTGAGAAGAGACCTAGGAGGTCAGCTGAAGCCTGATGAGACAAAGAAATAATGAAAAATAGAAAATACTCTCATATGATTCCAAGCAAGGTGCCCTACTATTAATGAAAGGAGTGTTGTGCTTTAAAGTCTGTGTTCAAAGCTTCAGATGACCTTGGTTACACCTTGTTTACTTTGATCCTTACATTTATTAAATCTACAAATTGACCTTTGGGCTTTCTGTAACAAATTATTACTAAAATCAGTAGTGAAATCACTTTGCATGTTTGCATTAGATTGCTAAATATGTCCCATGAAATGTAAGTATCTTTAATATCAAGTTGATGTTCAATGAATATCAAAAATAATTGCTGAATATGGTTAAATATTTTACTAGATGGACAGAACTTAACATTTAAAACAACTTAATTTGCTATCCAAATCTGAAAGAACATAGGGATAAAGGTAGGCAGTTTAGACAAAAATAGTATTGTGGGACCAGGCATTTTCAAATACAGTATATAGTTTTGAAACCTTACAATAACACTTTTAAAGGGGAGACTGCAAATAGAGTTCTCAGTGTCATGCAACTCTTAACTATGGGGATAAACCTCAAGTTCAGATCCTTAGTAACAAAGATGAATGATCTTTCCTCAAATCATGCTCCTCACAGTAGAGATAATATATTCATGGGCCCATTGAATGTATTTTGTATGAGTGATTTTGCTGAGGATGATGTGCGTAAAAATATACATGCATTGCTGGTGAGAGGCTCATGGGCAGACTTAGGAATCCTGTAGACTGAACACAATAACATGCTAAAAGTAACAATTGCTTATTTCACTAAAATGTGTCTTTAAATTTATCTAAAACAAGTAAAATAGTCATTTCAAAGTTACTGTAGAATTACAATCTAATTTTTATTGTGCTTTGATTCCTTAATGTGATATTTTGAATCTGAAAAGTGTGTAGCATGTCCAAATGTTATTTTACACTTTTAGTTTTTGCATTATTTCCTTATCCATGGAGATACTCAGTACTACTTAGTTTTGCAAAAACAATAATCAAGTCATGTATTTCCTTAGTCAATTTTTGATGCAAGCATCAAATTATCATTTTATCCATCTCTTTCTTATATTACCAAATGCCACTCTGGCGTAATCATGGTGAGTTAGAATTCCAAGCAAACTTGAAGAGTGAAATACAGTTTTAATGGGGCTGGATATGTTGGCTTGCCAGAAAAATGCATTTTTAATGGATTCTATGATTTCTTAAAATGGTCTTGGTGTTAATTCATTTGATAATTAATTGAAATAGATATCATAAATTTAGTAAGTTTCAAATAGTGTATTTTCTTTGTGTTAAAAGATAAAACACCTCTCATGTTTAATGTAAGATGAGAGGTATCCAGGAATTATAATATAAAAATAAAGGGCTGTCTTTTAGACTCTAAAAAACATGTAATTATTTTTGATTTTTATAGTTCATGATAAAGCAAAACGTTTTGTACTTTAAACTTTATTTTATGTGAGTTATCTTAAAGATTTTCTCATCTAGACAAGTGTCACATGATATTATAACTTATGTTTTGCAAAAATGCCTATGGTTTTTGAATGGCAGCTTATCACAGAAGTCTGTACAGTTGAGAATAATCTTGAGAAATTGTCTTATGATGATATAAGGAATCTTTATTGAATAAAAAACTAAATCATTCAAAATATGATAACTTTACTGAATACATAGAAAGTGACTAAGAAAAAAACATTCTTTTGTGTATACAGTGGTAAATTGTTGGATGGGATGAATGAAGTGCAGGGCAAGAGGATGGATTTATGGGGAAAGGAATAAGGGGATGAGAGAGTTAAACTATGGTTCCAAATTATGGCTGTTATCTTTTGTTCTATAGAAAGCACTTTCTGAGTTCCAAGAAGAACACTTTTAAAATAGTTTTATGGAGTGTTAAATTTTATCCCAAACCATTCCTTAAATAAGACTAAATATTTTTCTTATATTTTAAAGAA